AATTAGAGGATTGAACAAAATCAGAATAGATTTTCATACAATTATATAATAAAAAAGAATTAGATAAGAAAAAGAAGGAATTAGATAAGAAAAAGAATGAATTAGATAAGGAATTTTGAATCTGACTTTTTTTTTTGGATAGATAGACTTTACGTACAAATTTTGACTTCACTGATTTTATGGGATTTATTTGACAATATCGATGTTAATATGGAATAAGACAAATAAATAAAGTCTTTTAATTTTAGTAAATATTTTACTTCTTTTTTTTTTTACTTGTCAGATGTTATGGGATTTTTTTTTCTTAAACTGATTTTATGGGATAAGACAAATAAATAAAATAATTAAATAAAATTCTGGATAGAAATAGCAATGCATTAATTACGTTGTCTTTTCAATCTACTAAATTTGGTAAATAGGATACCTTATATAATAAGTATAGATACAAATAAATAACATGCCAAAATTTTAATGAATAATTAATGTATTTTAATTTATTATCTAGCCATCAGTAATATCATTTAATGATGTGATCATTATCTCTTAAATTATAAATAAAATATTAATTTTAAAAAAATATTTGTTTTTTATATACTCAAATAAAAATTAAAAATTACTATCGACAAATATGAATTATATATATATCAGCAAAATCATTGCAGAAGTTAATAAAATTATTTAAGAAAAGAATCTTTTTGATCATATTTGAATAGGAAATGTATATATGCAAGCAATTAATGCACATAGTAAAAAAATTCTAAATAGAGTATGCATTAAATGTGAGTTGACTTTTTTTGCTACTATTTTTGGTAAATAGTATGGCTTTTAATATAAGTATAGATGTAATAATATAACTTCATTACTATCCCATCCAACCACATGTAAATAAAATATGAAATGTCACTACTACCCTTAATAGAAAATAATGTTACTTCCAAAAAGTATTATATTATGTTACTTCCAAAAAGTTATATTATGTCTTATTCCAAATACATTTACTACTTATTATATAAACAATTAAAATTGTCAAATAACAAATTAAATTTTAATTCGAATAATTAAAATATTAAAACACATGACTTAAAATAAAATTGTTTCAAATAATTTCAAATAAAACGTTTTAAATCATTATTGTGATGTTTTATTCATGAATGTCATGAAATAGTACTCATTTTTTTCTTATAATATTCCTTGTGTGTTTTATAATTAATATTTTTTATAATATTAATCTATTGAAAAAAAATTGACTGGTATCTAAATTTTCAAACGAATTTATTGGATAACTACATAACTACGATTTTTCATATACAAATATTAAAAATTCTTGTAATGCAAAGTCAATAAAAAAAATTAAAAAAAAAAAATAATCCATTGATCTAAACTTTAATTGAAACCAAATATTTTTTTATTTTCAAATATTAATAGTTACACTCATTTTTTCAATCAATAATTGTTTTCATTCTACTTTTTTTTTATCTATGATCTTATTAATATTTTATTTTATTTTTTAATTATTCAATAATTTAATTTATTTTAGATGATATAAAGACGTTAAGATTATGTAAACAATATATAAATTAGAAATAAAAAAATTGAATAAAATTTATGGAAAATGTAGTTTTTGAATGTAAGAGAGAATATTATTTTAAGCTTTGTAAATAAAATAAGTTTTATTTCATAAGTGTAAAATATATAATGCACCAATGATAGTATCATCTCTAATTTTCAAATATCATATTTTACTATAGATATTTTATGTTATAGTTTTAAAAAAATTAAAGAGGAACAATTTAATGAACATGCATATGTTTAAGAATGACGATTGAATCAAAAATAGTTATTCAACATAAAAAGTATCAATGTTTTATGGAAAACAAAATATTAGTTAAGTGCAAATATAGTCTTAATAGAAATACTTTGTTTAAATTATTCACTAAAAAATATGCATGATACAATTTAAGTTTATCTGTTAGTAGTATGTACAATATAAATGTTCTTTAATATATTGTGTGTTACATAAATTAATCTACTATTTATTTTAATTGTAATAGGACTCAAAATATAGTTATTGTAAAAATAAATTAAAATAATTAACACTCGATTTTAAATATTGAATTTCAAAATATGTGTACTTGTTAGAAAATATATAGTTATAATTAAAATTAATAAATAAAAATAAAAATTACATTTACTTTAAATTTATTTTATTAAACAATCTTATTATAAATCATAGATAAATTTAAATTTTCAAATCACTTCTCGAAACTAGGAAACATAAACCTTGTAAAAATATTGACAAATATATAAAATAATATTAAGATAAAAGTAAAATATGAAAGAATCATTATTTTACAAATTATTTAAAATAGAATTTTTATTTTCACTTTTTGTATAGTCTTGAAAATCTATTAACGAAAATGATAATGCATGCATAACGATGTTAGGAGATGCAACAATAATTTATTTTAGACAATATATATATATATATATATATATATAGGTACCTTCAATTAACCAATGTTACAACATTATATATAGATAGATGTGAACATTTAATCAATCAAAGATGTTATTGTTCCTAATAATTTTCAAGTAATTGTTTTTTAAATATTTACGACTTTAAAGATATTTTCAAATATTTATATCTCTTATATCATTATATACAGAGAGAAAATATATATCTAAGTATTACGATATATTACACGTGCAAATATAATTGAATTTACAACCGTTATAATCAAACTAATAGAGAATGAAACATTCAACCATACTGTCAGCTTCCAATCAACAATAAGCAAATGATAATTACAAATTATAGTTATAGTAATTCGAGTTATTTTTCAAATAGTAAGACGCAAAAGGAAGACATTAAAAAAAATATATATTTTGACAATAATAATGATCACTATTTTAAGGCATAAAGATGATATCACTAAATAACAAAATCAAGGACGACATAAATTTCTTTAGCATTTCGAATTTCACAAAAAATATTAATTTTATTTTAGATTTTCTAACCAATATTTTTTATTTAATTTTATTTGTCATAGAGTTTTGTTAATATTTAATAGTATTAAATTTTATATTTTATCTTAAAATACACAATTTTTTGTTAAATAATGAAAAAAATTATATTGCGCTATTAAATTAAATATAAATATAAAAATAATTTTAAGTAAAAATATAATATCACGTGCGTAGCACGTGCATCTTCCTAGTAACTCTCTTAAAAGGAAGAGTTGTTTCTTGAAACTTTTGAATTGCCAAGAATACCCTCATAAAAATATAAGTTTTTAAGGTTATTAATGTAATTTTCTTATTAATGTTAGGAAGTTACAACTTCTATTTATTATCTTTTCTTTTGTTATGCTAATTTATTCCTAATTATATTATTCTGAATTAATGTACATATGACGTTAGGTTTCGATTCGGTTATTTTAAAGGTAGTTTTAAAATGTAACAGAAAAAATTATTTTAAGATATTTTAAATATAAAATATATGATATTTCATAAGTGTAAAATATTAATGCACCACTAAAAGTATCATCTTTAATTTCCAAATATCATATTGTTTACCATACAAATTTATGGTTACAGTAGTAAAAAAATTAAAGAGGAACATTTTAGTGAACATACATATGTATAAGAATGATTGAACAAAAAATAATTATTCAACATACAAAATGTCAACTTTCTATGGAAAAAAGTTATTTGTTAAGTAAAAAAGATATGATCTTAACAAACGTTTAAATTATTCACTAAAACAAAATGCATAATATGATTTAAGTTTACCTGTTAATAATATGTATACTATAAATGCTCTTATATAATAATGTGTTACATAAATTAAAATAGCATTTACTGAATTGTAATATAAACAAAAATAGATTATTTACATAAATAAAATAACTAAAATTCTATTTTAAATCTTAAATTTCACAATACATGTACTTATTAGAAAATAATTACAATTAAAATTAATTAAATAAAAATAAACATTAAATTTACTTTAAATTTGTTGTCTTTAGCATATCTTATTTATAAAATCATTCATAAATTAAATGTTTCAAATCACTTCTCAAAAGTAGGGAAAATAAACTATATAAAGTAATGACAAAGATATAAAAATAATGTTAAGAGAAAAAAATATGAAAGAATCATCATTTATTTATAATAGTCTTGAGAATCCGTGAACGAAGATAATGCATGTGTGACAATTTTAGGAGATGCGACAATAATTTATGTTGGACAAGATATATAGATAAATGGGTCTTTAAATCAATAAAGATGTTATTATTCCTATGTTTTTTCATGTATTTTTTTGTTTTTTGAAATAATTACGACTTTAAAGATATTTTCAAATATTTATGTGTCACTTATCTAGGTATTATGAAATATTATACTTAATATAACTAAACTTGCAACCACTATAATCAAAATAATTGAGAACAAATTATTCAAACATAATGTTTTAGCTTCCAATCGACAATAAAAAATGATCATTACGAATTATAGTTGTAACAAATTCGAGTCATTTTTCAAAGAGTGTGATGCAAAAGGATGGCATTAAAAAACTATATTTGATGAAAATATTAAGATCATTATTTTAAGCAAAAGTAGGGAAAATAAACTATATAAAATGTTGACGAAGATATAAAAATAATGTTAAGACAAAAATAAAATATGAAAGAATCTTCATTTTATAATTCATTTAAACTGGAATTAGTAAGTTTTCATATTTAGGATAGCCTTGAAAATCTGGGAATGAAGATAATGGATGTATGACAATGTTAGGAGATGCAACAATAATTAATGTCAAAAAAGATGTATAGATAGATAGGTATCAAATACGATATAAATTTCTTTAGTATTTATATTTTCACTAAAAAAATATTAATTTTATTTTGGGTTTTCAATCCAATGTTTTTTATATAATTTAATTTATCATAGAGTTTAGTTAATAGTGGTTTGAAGATACTCGACCATGCAAACGAAGCGAAGTTCAGTCAAAGTGGAAGGGAAGGAGCAAGTGTAGGCTCGAAAGCCGTAACGCGCCGGAAGCCCCTACCCGAAAGGAGTGATCAGTATTAAATACTATATTTCATTATTCAATAAAATACACCTTTTTTTTGTGAAACTAATTGAAAGAAAATTATATTATACTATTAAAGATAAACCTAATACTAAAGTAATTTGAAAAAAAAAAAAAATCACGTGCGTAGCACGTGCATCTTCCTAGTTAGGAAAATCAGCTAGAATTTTTCTACTTATTCTTAGCTGTTAACACTGCTTAGTTTTATTTATGTTACCAAGTTAAAAACTTTTTATCTTCTTTGCTTCTCTTTGTAGCCATTTCGTTATTGTATCCCGTGTAACCTTCAAACTGTAAAGGCATTAATCAGAAACTTTTGTGCCATCTCTCTTCTTTCCCCAATAAGGAGAAAGCAAATTTCTATAGAAGTTCCTTGTTGAAGATTACCAACATATGCATGCAAGTCTATAAGAAAATTGAAGTTGTATTTGAAAGGCCTTGTTTGCTGTTCCACTTGCAACTCGAGTCCCCTATGTATAATAAGTGTGCTTATGGAGTAAAGAAAAATAAGTATAAAACGTCACCTATTCAGGTGTACTTCGGAATGTTAGATGCTTTGTTAGCTGAAGAGAAAACTCCAGCGGAGCACGCTGGCCAGACTCAGGTACTCTGTGCTATCTATGCAACATTATTTGTGATCTTTAGCTATGTTCCAAATTATCAAAATTGTCTGTACAATGGATATGCAGATTATATTGTGCAATGACTGCGAGAAAAGAGGAACTGCCTCTTTTCACTGGCTTTACCACAAGTGCTCGTATTGCGGTTCGTACAACACAAGGCTGTTGTGAACCAAGTCCTTGGCAAGTGTGTTTTTTCCTGAAATTATACCACAAGCTTATTCATATATTATTTATGCAATTGACTAGAAAGAGTAGCATTATTCAGTAGATGAAACTTAGCTTTAGCTAATTATCACCATTCTTTCCTTAAGGAGATAGGTTTTGTAAATTAGATACATTTTCAGGTTTATCACGGTCAATCTGTCAATATAGTAATTGTATGAATCACGCTTTCTGGACTTATTACAATTTTCAGGAAGCAATTTTACATAAGCGAGAAAAGATTATAGGACATTCTCTGTCAATATAGTTCTTTCCAGTTTTGTTACATTAATGTCTAAAGATATTGCCTGCCTTCCTATCAGCCAGTGTTCTACATATACTTTCGTGAACCCAAAGTCTTTCTGATCAACAAGTGTGTTCCAGTTTACTTTAAGATTCATGTCACACGTCATATTGCACGTGTAAGAACTGGTGATCAATAGACGGAAAAAATGAGTAGATAGAATAGTATTATTTGCCAGTCACGATTGAATGTTTCTTCCATTTAGCAGACCCTCGAAACAACATTTGGTTTATATAGTTCGTTTAATATGAAATTTGCAAATGTAGGAAAATAGGTATCGAGAAACAATCATGTACTAGGCTATTGACAGGTCCTCTAAGAAGCTTATAACAAGAAAGCCAAAACTGGATATAAGTAGGCCGAGCCAGCTCACTTTGTTGAGAATCTCTTCTGATCCGGTTTTTACTAATGGACGCTTGTAAGGCTAAAATAAGCTGCGGCATTCTTGAGTTCCTTCTCTCCCATTAGCTCCGTAGAATGCTTTGAATCTTTGAATGGTGATTCCAAACTGCATAAGTGAGCCTTCAGTTTTAGTTATCATTCACACTTCTAGAATGTATCAATGTGTAAAACCGATTCTTCCCGGACCGGACCGAAGTGGTCCGGTTTTGAAAAATAAGGTTCCGAGAGATTTTCACTATTTTCGTACCGTTCCTGGTACCGAACCATTTTAAAAAATGCTGGTATCGGCTTCAAATATTTTTTGCCGCGAACCATCCCGTTTGTCCCATTTAATAATTTCTTAAATAAAAAGCCCAATGTACTACTGACCCAAAACAAATACACCAACCTGTCTAAGCAAAAAGAGATGCTTATGTTGGTGACTTACTGAATTGGCCAAAAAAAAAACTTTACTTCGATTTAGGTGAATTGACAGAAAAGTAATGTAATGTTGATAAATACTTGATGATCTTGTTTTAGTATTTTTAATTGAAAACAAACTTAGCTTTGTTATTTATTTTTTATTTTCTTTTTCTTCCAAATCAGCATGTACTGAACCGTTTTGTCCCAATCCCGAATGAATACTAGTCTATTTAGGAGCGGACAGTGTCTTGTCCCGGACTGGTTCATAAAAGCGGGATACTGGAACAGGCCAAATCCCGAACTGTCCCGAATCTTGCCCACCCCTAATGTGTACTATGTAAATATGTAATCACCCATATAAGAATTTTTACCACTGAATACTATATGATAACTAATACATTAACAAAACAAGAAAATAGATTAAGATGTACCTGGATTCATACACATCCTTGCAGCCTATATATGATTGTGTCTCATCAATGTTGTCGAAAAATGAATGCATCTCTTCTTGTGGGACAGACATAGGCACAGTCACAGGCACATTCGTATTTGTTTGCGATTGCACGATGACCGAAGAAGAATCACCATTGTTCATGCTGTCATAGTTACGCGTCTGTTGAACAAACAACAAAGAATCAACATCATTCTTTTCTTTCTCCTCCAAATTCCGATCACAATGGAAATAAGCGGCGGCATGTGATGATGGATTGACAATGCCTAACTGTACTTGCGAAGACGGGTAATAATCATTCGTGCCGCCAGCTTGGCATTGTTGTTGTTGTT